AAGCATGCATTAATTCTACTATCACTTTTGAAGTTTCTTGCGGAACACATCGTGATCCACGTGTCTTCTATTTCCGTAATGAAAATCTTTTCGAAGTTGAGGATGCTGAATAAGATTGCGGTACACAATTTCGTATTTATGATTTTATTTGTTGTTCATGTAAATACTCTGACTGGATATGAAGTATTGAATTCATAAAAATTCTGTGATGAATTGAACTCAAATGAACTCAAATGTTTCCCAAGAAATGCTTTGTAGAAAATTTAGAACTAGAGAGATGAAGATTGGACAGTATACGAAAAGACTATACCGTATTAATGCTTTTCAATGCTGATACAAATCCTGTTAGAAGAGGCTGAGGGCGTTCTCATCAATTCTGGAACTTAGCGAGGACATAAAGGCCTTTAAAATCCAATTGCTCACACGTCACTTTGAAGACCAACGCGCGATTGGCTGGAGATGTGGGGTCCCGATGCGATGTAGGCTGTTCGCATGTGACGATGTACGCGCACCTTTTTTAGACGTATTTTTATAAACTTTTGAAAGCACTTTTGGCTAAATCACAATGTGGAATGTTGAAAACGAAATGGATATTGACCGAAAAACTTAAGAGCGAATGAAACCGCCTAGTGCCTCGCGACAACGCTCGCCCTATGCTGGTATTCAAAATACGGCGCGGACAATTAGGTTCTACAAGGCCTATAAGTACTTTTCGCAGATATTGTGACGCTAGAACTGTGCGCTGTGCTGGAACTGCTCCGGAACTTACGGATTAGTATGAACTCAGCCTGAAACTCGCTGTGATCTATGCTAGTTTTGCATTGCAGTCAAGCATGGCTAGAGAAGTGATTTGATGGAGGAGGAGCTATACAGCTATACCATCAACCAATGAGTGCATTGTACGACAATTGGCGATACGAGTTTATTTACGTATACGAGAATAATTCTACTTTGGTATATTAGGCAAAATAATCACTTTTTCATCTCTGGCTTCCTTTTCGATGGTCGACGAGGGACACGAAGTGAGCCTTTACCGCCTGATGGTTTTGGTATGTTCACATAAGTTGAGGTTACACTCTTTCTCTCTCCAACGGCAACTGGTGGGCCACCAGCCATAGAGGCTCGTCCTACAGACTCGCCCAATGCGAGTCTTGGCTTTGGCACTGTCGCTAACGGCCCTTTTTCGTACGGGCTAAGAGTTCCTGAGGAACTGTCAACACTCAATGATCTACTTCGTGGTGGTAGCGTTGTATTCTTGCTTTCTTTATTTTTGTCAGTACTTGATTGTGCGCCTTCGATGGGCTCTTTAAATCCAGATTTGGCTTCGGTGGACTCCTTTGGTCCAGATTTGTTGACGTTTCCTTCATCTTTTAGAGCCAAAGCTTCAGGAGGATTTTCGACAGATCTGCGAGGAGAAACACGACCTCCAAGTGACCCTCCTCCTTTCGGACTGCTAGGTGCAATTGCCGATTTGAGTGACTCCATAAAGGACCATAGGTTTGGCTTCGCTGTTTGCACTTCCTTTTCTTCTTTAGCTGTCCGGATAGTTGGCTTCGATGAAGTTACCTAGAATAAGATTTTCTCGTGCCTTATATAGTGTTTTGTGGTCGCTTACATATTCTAAGAAGTTTGGAGTGCTCAAGAAAATTTCAAAAATTTGAGCCTTCAACTTACCGCAGCCATTAGCAAATTCACGATATTGTCATTTAAACATGAAGGTTCGACTAGTAGAAAGAGAAGTGCGGACAATTTTATGACATAATAGAAAGGAAAGGCTTCTAGCATCCGATCGAAAGCTGTTGTTATGAAAGCGCAGATCCTAAATGGAATAGCTGTTATGCCTTGGCTTTCTTTCCGATGATACATCTAACCAGAATATCCTCATGCTTTCTGTTGAAGGTTTCTCGTCGGGGAATACAAATATGAGAAGCATAGGAACGACGACAATAATTGTATTACACACTAGCCAGTTGCTGTTTCTTGTAAGAAGAAACAAGAGGAGCAGTGCTATTAGTTTTGCTACCTCAA